ACACCATAACAGCGTAAATTAAAATATTTAAACAGTAGTAGTTCCACCAAAGGCCACTTCATCACCAATTTCAGCATCATCCATGTAGAAATCGGACACGTCAAATTTAGGCAAAATTGGATTGATATCATCAGCATAATTAGCCTCCACATTTTTTCCTTTTCCTTTTGTGGAAGCTTGGTATAATTTTACCAAGTGTTTTGCCGTTCGACATTCATTCGCCCAATGTCCTTTTATGCCACATTTGTAGCATTCACCACTTGGTTTTGGCTTTTCATGAGTTTTAACATGTGGTGGTTTGAATTTTCCTTTTCCCTTGGAGGATGATTCATTTGAATGTTTATATCCCCTATTTGGCCCTTTGTTGCGGTTATTTCCGCGTCCACATTTAAAGTGTCCGCGTGCACCACCTTGAATAACATTTGATTCTGGTGCTGAACCACGATCAGGATGACCAAAATTTGTAGGGGTACAACCGGTGGGCCTCATGTTATGATTTTTCATTAAGAGCTCATTATTCTGCTCAGCAACAAGTAATACTGAGATTAACTCAGAATACTTTTTAAAGCCCCTTTCTCTGTATTGTTGCTGTAATATCACATTTGACATATGCATGGTGGAAAAAGTTTTCTCCAACATGTCATGATCTGTGATATTATGTCCACATAATTTTAATGTGGACGTGACTTTGAAAATAGCAGAATTATAGTCACAAACAGACTTAAAATCTTGGAATCTTAAATTGATCCATTCATATTGAGCTCTTGGCAATATGACTTTTTGTTGATGTCCATATCTCTCTTGGAGATTATCCCATAATTCCTTCGGATCTTCCACCAATAGATATTCAGATTTTAAACTTTCATGAAGGTGGTGGCGAAGGAAAATTATGGCTTTTGCCTTTTGCTGAGATGATGATGTATTATTCTCAGCAATTGTATTTTCGAGGCCATTAGCCTTAAGGTGAGCAAGTGCATCAACCATCCATTCCAGGTACCTTTGACTGGATAAATCAAGAATGTCAAATTCTCTTTTGGTGATGTTGGCCATTTGAAATACTACAAAATAAATTAAATTTCATTAGGGTAATGTAATTTATTTATTCATTTTTCTTCGGCAAAAAGTAAAAATAAAAGGTAGTGCGTAATTGTATAGCAAAATGATAAGATTCCATGTTAAAAAGAAATAAACGAATACAAATGATTCTCATGCTACCCCAAACATCTCTGTCCATATCCTACCTTTTTTATTTATTTATTTTTTTTTAAATTATTGATGGTGATGCATATTCATTCAAAGGAATCAAGGGACAGAAATAATACAATTGTTAAAAAAAATTGATTCTTTAGTAATACAAATAAAAGGAAAAAAACAAAACTTAATCACATGGACACCAAGTCACCAAATCACCATAGTGTTCAGTAGTACTCCTTATAAAAAAAATTCTATTGCATACTTCATACGGAATATATGATGATATGGTAGAACTACTATTTGAGTTGTGTTTCTTAGCTATGATAATCCTTTTACAGTTTTACTCCGTATTTTACATCTTATGTTTCCAGAATGTAGTTAAAAAGTTTTTATTATTATTATTATTATTTTTAATCCTAGTTACTCCGTATTAAAATAAGGAGGATTTTTTTTATATATGTGTGTGTGTGTGTGTATATATATATATATATATATACGTATTCAAAATCAAAAAGAAAAAAAATCAATTTAAGTAATGTGTAATATAATAATTTTTACTCCATGTTATTTAAAAAAGATATTCAAAAAACAAAAGGAAAAGACAAATCAATTTAGTGGAGAGTACGAGAGAAAATAATAGAATGCTCCTCAACTAGTTTTGGAGTGTTTATATCATTCCCCCTCTCTCTCTCTTTCAAACCAACTATATACTTCGTAAAAGAATATATTTGCAAATTGCAACAAGAAGAAAACAGTGCCATAGAGTTCCAAGTAATAAATTTTAAGAAAGTTATATGCGTGGAGGGGAGTCTACCATTCATGCATAGTTTAATTTAAGGTATGTTCATAATTGAATTCTAATTTTTCTTTTTTATTTTTATTTTTTTTAATATTTTATTTTAAAGCTACTCTGTACTAAATTCTACTTTGTTTTAATTTATCAAAAACATGATTTTCTGATATTATGAGGAATATTATTCCTTTTTAATTTATCTAATTTTATTTTTATAACTATAAGTTTCTGATGTGAAGGATCCCAACTTTGGGCAATCACAGAGCATACTTCTCATAGTTTTTAAGAAAATATTTTAGTTTGTTTATGAAGAAAATAAAATAAATATACCTTCTGAGAAGAACAAGGTTTCTGGGATTTTGAGCAAACTCGTGCTGATAACGTGTTATAAAATGAGAGAAAAACTACTCAGAGATTATGAGAATAGATATAATATATTTCTGATTTCTTCTCTCTATTAACTCTTCACTCTTATTTTTATTCTTAATGGTGATTACAATGCAGGGATTAGGCCTCTATTTATAGTGGAGAGGCTTGGTATGAATACAAATACAAGTGGGAAGTACTGTACATAATTAGTGTTCATCAATTAGTGTCTTAATCTACTATTCTAGAAAGTAGGTCTGATTAATTGAATAAATGAACAATCATTAATTTCATAACAAATGTTCATTTTTCCTCCATAAAAAACAAAAAAAAATTACTCTCTCTTAAAAAAAATCGAACACAATTTTTATTGGTTTTAAAACTTTTTTAATACTATATACAAAAATGCCAAAGTAGAATAAACAATATTTGAGGAATTGAATGTATATTCAACTAAGTTTTTTTTAATACCAAACTTTTTGGAAGACTGTAGGGTATATAATTTTTTTGAATATAGTTGCAAGTGTATCATAACATAAAGCTGATCATGAGTGAATACCAACTTGGTTAAAAGTAATGCAAGAAATGATAATGTTTGACTTTGACTTTTGTTGATAGTCATTGCAAAATATAAGACTATTGAGATTTGCCTTATAAATAACTTCAAAAGTAGTTCTAGATCAGATGGTATCATTTTCATTTGGAGTATGTAAACTTTTTGCTGACTCGATTTCTCAAAACCACAATAGACCAACAACATTCTTTCATAGCTCTTCAAGGATTAATCGTGTACCATTACATACTCCATATATTTGGTCAATGTTTCTCAATATCAAAATCGTTAACCCATTTTTAAGATTATTTTGTAGTTTTGGATCCCCGAACATTTGATTTCATTTAAAATTTAATTGTTATTTAATTGTCATCAATAATTATATCTGAATTGGCCTGACATGAAAAATCAAAACTCAGGCACACCATTTCATATTAGGGAATGAGGGATATGACAAATTCATTTATCATTTCTACAACCTCAAGCATAGTCCAGTAGTGCCCTATCCTAAAAAATGAATAAATTTTCATACTCTCCAATAGGTTCAATTAGGATAAGTGAAGTCCACTATACCAGTATACCCTTCACAAAATAACTTGTGTCTAGAATTAATAATTTATGCGGAATTTCAAGGTCAGTTGTTTCATCAACTACTTGTCTAATAATTTCATCTATAACTTTAATTATCCAATCAGAAAAAATTTGTGTGTCCCTATCTGGAATAGAGGACGTAGAAGAATGTAATATCATATTCTTCGCTAACATATAAATTTTAAAATACGACCATAATTTTAAAGAATAGATGATAGCACTCACACTTTTCTCTCTTGAAGTTTTGGGTAAAACAGGAAGAGTTTGCCAAAAATCATCTCTGAGTACAACTATTTTCCTTTCGAGTCCGACTTTTTCCACTCCGAATTCAACTATTTTCCCTCCAAATGGTTCATTTCTAGAGTTTTTATTAAAGAAATTCATTACATCTCTCATTTTGTGATCCATCACCTTAAAAATAAATCTATTCATCATGCATGCTAGCTCCATCCCATATTATTAGACTTATTTGGTGGATTAGTTCTACCATAGATCTTCTCATTACCTTTTTTAACAATTAAATTATATATCACAACTATCCACACTTACTTTATTTATTACACCTCACCTACCTTATTTAATACACTCCACCCATTTTCATTAAGGGTATTATGGTAAACTTTCACATTTTTTTAACTCTTCTTAAAAACCACAAAAAGTCAAAATGAGAAGATCTTAAGGGGACGGATGGAGTAATTCTAAATCCAAAAATAAAAAGTGTTCTTTACCCCTCCCCCCATACGTATATATGGTAAATAAATTGGTATGTTTAAATAATTCTAAAAACTTTATTCATTAACTGTTTCAGTTGTCAAATGTTTGAATAATTATTTATATAAATATATAATGAATTGAAATATTAAAAATTAGACTATAATCTCAAAATAAAAAATATGTTTGATAAAAAATTTCATTGGTCAAACATATCATTCGAAAAATGAACCGGGTGTTAAAAACAATAGAGTTACTAATTCTTAAGATTAAATGCATGAAACTAAAAAGACAAATAATTTAGTCACTATGTTCAATCAATAAAAAATAAAATAAACTAATGTCAAATCAGTACTCCGTATGTTGATTAAAATTACTAACTCATTAAAATAATAAATAGACAACAGATGATTTATTAAAGATGTCATATTAGCTCATGACATGCTGATATCATGTAAGCCAGAGTCTCAAATTTTATAATAAAAGGAAGGATTAGCCAATAAATGTGATTAGCAATTAATTGAAAGTTTTTTTATAATTAACATTTATAACCTCCTAATTATAATTACTTTACATATACCTCGTAAAAGTTTTTCATATGTGCAATAATTGGGAATGAATATTTGCTTTAATAAGATGTTTTTATACTTTAAGTTAAAATTGCCAAGTCACTTAAGTCATCAAATGTGGCTGATGATGTGTAAAAAAAATTACCAAATAGCCTGCCACATGTCGCATTTCTAGGAGTTTAACTCCCAAATATTATATATAAAGGATAAAAGATTTATTTTAAGTTGTCTGTTTTCCTTTTTTCTCTATCCCAAAATAAGTGGAATGTTTCTTATTATCTTAAACTTTTAAGAGTAAAATACATAAATTACCCTTAAAACACTCATCTCCACTTTATCTTCTCATTCATCGTCACCCCTATAAAAAGTAATGACAATTTCGAAAAGTCAATTATATTTTCTCTCCCTTAAATATGTCACAAAGTTCTGTGGAGTGTTTGTTAGTGGCGTAAAATGTTTGTATTACACGAGTCCTTTGTTCATTTTCTTTGCCGCTACATTGCTTTTGACAGGTAATATCAACATCTCTCTCCAAATTTGACGAGAGATCATTTCCCAACTCAGTATTCGGCTCGAGAATTATTAGACGAGGTCGTTCACTTAATCAAATCTAAAATTAAGTGGAGAGGCATTACAAGCAAACAATTGGTCGTTTTATATTGTACGGAGTATTTTAGAGTTAATTACATGTGTTTTTAGTTCGTGTAAAATGTGTGACTGTTGTTTTTAGTCCTAAAACCTTTTTAGCTCCTTTAATTAAATGTGCCAGATAGCACATTTGTTTCATACTCAACATCTTAGTCTTACATTTCCGTTTACGTTCGATACAATTTTCAAGCTCTGAATTGTGTACTTATTCACGTTACACATCTCCCAAATTTCTTAGGAATATAATATTGAGTATAATAAAAATTTGGGAATCGGAGATATAATTTGATAATGGACACAATTTTGATTACAAGAATTGTGTTTGAAATAAATAGATATGCAAAACTAAGTTATTGAGTACGAGATAAATATATTATGTTAACAAATTAAAAATCTTAATTCCGTATTAGAATCATTATCAAAATAAAAAAATTTAAGGATAGTTTTAACAAAAAAAATTTACTAAGACCAAAAAACAAAACTTGTATAATCAAATTTTACCCAATATTTTAAGTGTATATAAATCAATGTGGCTTTTATAATTTGTCTATAGCATAGTTGGTACTTATACTTTGTGATAAACTTTTGGATATTTTGATAGTATTTCAAATTTCTAATTTTTTATCATAATTCATACAACATGCTTATAGAATTTTGTAATTGAGTTTCTTAAATATTTTGTTCATTTTGTAAATGAAAGTGTTGTTTAGGCAAGGCGTCAAATATGCCAAATATCTATAATTATTTAAAACACAAACACTTTGGTATAGAAGTAGCTTTATTATTAAATCAAATCCTCCCTCAAAGCCTTCGCCGCCGCCGCCGCCACAACAGTCCTTGTCTTCGCTGCCATGCTCCACATCTCTCTTGTATTCACATCGGTGCTCTGAGAATTGATATGTGTGTACATCAACAGGGGCGGAGGAGAGGGGGGCATGCCTGGGCAAGTGCCCCCGGCGAAATTCCGGCGAAATAGGATTTGGGTCCCCCCCAGATTTGTCCCAGCTTCCACTTCCAGTCTCTGGTCCATGGAGCTTATTCAGCTGCCACGATCCAAATTCCAAACCAATGAACCACGAATGCCTAAAATATTAAGCCAAAACCCGGCCAGGTGTTCCTTATCCATGTTTTAATTTTTTGTTTAATTACTTTTTTATTGTTGGTGTTGTGTTTCAATTCTTGAATGCTTCGTATTTGTTAAAAGTAGTACTTTGAATTTAGGTAATACTCTCCTCCTCACTAAAAGATTACCACAGTTTGAATTTTTTAGTAGTACTATTAAATACTCCGTATAACTTACTTTTTTATTTGACATTTTATAACTATATTTTAAAATAAATTAAATTTTACAAAATTTATTAAATACACCTTTTTCATAATTCACGGTCAAAGACTAACACAGTTTGACCAAAAAACTTAATCTATGGTAATTTTTTAGGGATAGAGGGAGTATTAAAGTTAAATTACAACAAATTGTTATGGAGTATTTGTTTCATCAATCATTTATTTATACTGTTGCAAATTAGAAATTCTTGAGATGAATAAATATTTTATTAGACAACTAAATAATTTATCTTTGGTATATGACAAAGATAAGGAAAAAAATTTCTTTGGAGAAAGAAAGTGTGCTTTTAGATGATGATATTATTACTAATTTGGGATTACGAAAAGTAATTAATACTTATGCATTTAAAATTAGAGATACCATAAGAAAAAGGTACTTATATAGTTGTATGTAAATTTACTCTTTTCCTATTAAATTTGGTACTATTATTAGAATTTTTTGTTACTCCGTATTTTTAAAATGAATTTTTGCTTCTTGATTACCATAATTGTGGCCTCGAGAGGATTCGATCCTGATCAATGCCCCAACATTTGGAGAATAAAAGTAAACAAATATCAATTCTCCGAGCAACGAATCAAACATAGGAAAATTTTGAGAGCATCAGTGTCATGGAACAAATCTCGGAGTATTTATGTAAACTCATGCAATTTGGGGAGTATTGGCGTGAATTTTTCCTATATAAAATCTGAATGTCTTCATTTACATGGCATAAGTGCAATGAAAGAGCCAAATTTGAACAGCATTAAACTCATTCTACTGTTTGCCGGGGGAAGACATCAAATGACACATACACTCTAATAATCTAATCACCTTTTCCATCATCTCCGATGGAGCCAAAATTTCACCATTTTTTGGCTTTGGGGTGTGATGGAATAAATCAAAATGGATCTCTAAACTGTCTGCGCTTTTTTAATTAATGAAGTAGCAGTTAGTCAAGCAATGCAACTTTCGACGTTGAGCCGGGGGTCTCTTTGGAAACAGCCTCTCTACTTTCGAGTAGGGGTAAGGTCTGCGTACACACACCCTCCCCAGACCCTACTCTTGTGGGATTTAACTGGGTTGTTGTTGTTGTTGTTGTTGTTGTTGTACTCTAATCTAATCACCAACAAGTGCCCGGGGTCTGTGCTCCAAGGTAAATAGGGACATACCCGTCTGCGAAACAGCTCTTACAAAAGCCATGTTAGCAGTCATGGTAGGAGCACGCCAGTGGTCACCGGTGCCGAATGCCACTTTGTTTTTCAAGGCCAGCTTTCTGGTTGTTGGAAGGCTACTCATGCGCGCCGATGGGCAGTCAGGAACAATCCTGGACGCAATAAGAAACAACTTGTCACCAATGATGTATTGTTTGAGCTCAGAAGTTTTAGGGAGTTTTTATTTTTGCTTTAGTTTCCAAATCTACGCTCTCATACTGTTTTCATTTTCTTTAAGTTTCGGGCAAAGAAGACAAGTTAGACTCAACGTTTCTGATTTGCTTTCCAGATCTAATGAGGGGCAATTTTGACATTTCCATCTATTATTCCCTTTACCTTGGTTTTTGTTCCAAAAAGAAGCCGGATAAATACTCCTAGACGGAGGGAGTAAAACTGTAAAACATTTAACTCGTCTAAAACTAGTGATATGAGTACTTAAATAATTAAGAATAAAAGAGCATTAACACTAGATCAAGAAACCAAGGAAAAGTAACTAGAACCGATAAGATGAGAATAGGAATAAACTTTTTACTAGTACCTTAAACTAAATTTGCAAAATTTTCACGTTCGTTCAGAATGTAGAGTTCTAAGTTCTAACTATTCACAAATGAAAGATTCTTCTACTTTGGCCTTCAGCACCCACACAATTTAAACAAAACAAACAGTGGTTAGAAGCATTTATTCATTTCATCTGTCCATTATGTTTTTCCTTTACACTATGTTTGGTTCAAGGAACTAGGAAGGAAAAGAAAAGAAAATTGTTTTCTCTCATTTTCATCACCAAAGTGGGGTGCCTTCTCATTTTTTCCCTTCCACTTTTCTTTACTTTTCCTCTCTTATTTTCTTTACTTTTCCATTTCAAATTCCTTGAACCAAACATAGTGTTACTGTTAGTCCTATCTTTGAAGTGATTTTTTTACCTGACCATTTAAACTAGATGCAATACAAAGAGGTAGTAAAATTAGCATTCAACTCACTTAAGTTTCTTCAGGAGATGCTGAGCTCTTAACTTTTCTCTTGACCCGCCACACATTGATATTATCTCCTGAAATTCTGTGATAACACTCTCACAAACAATTCCTCTCCTTCCATGAATTACATTACCCATGTCCACATGGATTGGATTCCTCATTTCAGAGTCCACCTGTTGGGTATACAGATTAAAAACATTAAACCAAAAACTTCAGAAACCCAAAAATTTCTGGGCATTTGTATCACAGACTACAAGCAAAGAAGATAGTGATTTTAGTGAAAGGGTGTGTTCTTTTCAACTCATTGTCAGTCTAGTTAAGTTCAATTTTTATCTTGTTAAGTTCAGTTCAGCACTTTTCACTTAGATTTATTACAACTAACTCTCAATTCAATCCCACACTTTTCAGTTCAATATTTTTAAGTTCTGTACTCCGTAAAATTTAGTGAAATGAACAAACACAAACAACTTTCCATCCAATCGCCATTGAGACTCGGGATTCAGGGGAGGGGATGGAAGGCAAGTGACCCAAGACTTTAGGACCATTAAGTCATTGAAACAACATAAAATATTCACAGGAATAGCATAACCCAGCTAGCAATTTAATATGTACAAAACTCAGTCAATTTACTTATCACAACATTTTGCCCAAGTCCTAATCCAACCAATTAAAAGAACCATAAGTTAAAAGGAGCACCTGCATACACCGGCAAGTATATATAAAAAAGATTCTTTAGGACTCCAACCTGATTCAACACAAAATCATAATTTCCTTTGAACCAAGCCCTCAAATCACTCTCCGGGGTTTTTAGAATTTTCAGGGCAGCCCCATTACTTATCCCGGACACGGCAGCAACAAGAGCCGTTGTATCAAAATTAACCAACTCGGCATCATCCTCAACATGACCAGCAGACCAACTCCTCATTCTGGACAGAAGAAAACTAAACGATTCCCCTAAATTCGCGGCACAATTTTTATCCATTTCCAAATGATCGAAGCTATTGTCGCATTTTAGCTCCATCTTAGAATCTAAAACTTCCATGCCGGGATAAACAGACTCTATCTTTATCTCCAAAAAACAGGCCCTTTCGAAGGACCTGCAAGGCACCACAAGGACCCAATCTCCTTCTTCCTCTTCTTCGAATTCATGTTCTAATGAAGAGAAATCCCCAAATCCGGCAGACTCAACTGCTCCAAAATCATCCCGGACCATGTGAACAACATCATCTCTAAGCCCATTTGAAAAGGAAAGGATGACAGAAGAAGGCCTTACAGTCAAAGACGAATTCCGGGCAGCAATCAGAACTTCGAGAATCCGACCTCTCAGTTCCTTGAAGTCGTTGTGCTTGGGATTTTTATCCGAGACGAGGATCCAAACGGGGTTCCAGTCGAAACAGCAAACTACATCTACATACACAGTGCAATTGCCCCTCCCCCCATTCTGAGTAGGGGAAATTGGAATGGGTTTGCAGACCCGGGCTACGGCGGTGACGGATGGGTGGCGGAGAATGTGAAAGACTGCTTCGAGGTGGCCGATGTTGAGGCTGAGAGCGGCGGCGGCGGAGGAGGAAGGGTTAAGGCGGTCGAGGAAAGCGAGCTCGGAGTTAACCAGGCGTAAGAGGGTCGTCTTCCACGACGACGGAGGAGGTTTTGACAAGGCTCCGATCCGATCTATGAGGACCCTGCATCTCCTCTTCGCCGCTTCCACGGCCTTGTCGCCGCATTGATCCATGCTCTTGAGAGCAGCATATCTATCTTCTGCCGGATTCAACTCCAAATAAAGGAGTAGAAAAACCAAAAAATCACTAGCATGAACTACCTCCGTCCCACTCTTTTTGTCCAGTTTTGACTTTTAGAACTGTTCATCTAAGCACTTTGACTCATCAAATTCTCTCAATGTGTAAGTCTAAAAATAGTCATGTGTGATCTTGTTTGATTTGTCTTAACATATAGATTATTAATACCCAAGTATATAATTTTTTAATATACAAATTACAAGATAAAAATGGATTAAAGAAGTGCATTGGATGGTGTGCAAAAATGAAAGTGGACAAAAAGAGTGGGACGGAGGGAGTACCTTCTATTTTCAGGTACCATTAAATTTAGAAATGTACTGCGAGGTTCCTCTTGTTATCCAGTAATTAACCGGGTCGGTACAATCCGTCAAACCCACCGTTAGTTACAGCCACTCCGCTTCGTTCTTTATTAATAACAGGTGATATTCCAATTGTAACCCTCCGTCCTCTTCTTCTTCAAGTACTCTTCTTCGTTCTCTTCTTCAAATTTACAGCAGCGCAGACATTGGGTACTAGGGTTTGTGACGGGAAGGAGGTGTGCGAAGCAAAACAATAAAGGTATGGAGCTTCTTGATTTGTTCTTGCTTGTTTTATTCGTCAGGCACTCCATATTCTTAGAATTTATTCGTTTTTGGCTTTGTGCTTTGTTTCCATGGGTTTTGATGAAATGGGGCTCATCGGTGTTGGGTGTGTCCAGGTTCAATTGCCATTGAGTTCCTCAGTAATGGCTCAAAATAGGTATGTTTATAGTATTGATGTTCCTCAACTTATTATATCCGATTCTGAACCGAATAACTACGTATCCAAAACTGAGCCGTAAAATTTGAACCGAGCCTGATTTTTGTCGGGTTGACTTTCGTTTAGTATATTTGACTGACCGACATCTACCAAAACCGTCCCAACATGTAACCAAACCGACCCGACATAAACCCGACACAACATCTCCCCGAACTAACCCGACATCTACCCAAACCGTCCCGACATGTAACCAAACCGACCCGACATAAACCCGACACGACATCTCCCTGAACTAACCCTACATCTACCCAAACCGTCCCGACATGTAACCAAACCGACCCGACATAAACCCGACATGACATCTCCCCGAACTAACCCGACATCTACCCAAACCGTCCTGACATGTAACCAAACCGACCCGACATAAACCCGACACAACATCTCCCCGAACTAACCCCACATCTACCCAAACCGACATCTCCCCAAACCGTCCCGACATGTACCCAAACCGACCCTTAATAATTGAACCGAACCCGACACGACCTGTTTCCTTACATTTTGACAAATATGCTAAAGAATTGTTAGTTTTTTTGGTATAGTTTTGGAAGTCGCTCGGTCACGTCCTCAAAAAGAGTTTGTCAATATGGTGAATGGGTTGAAGTCCCTACTTGTAGGTGTGGCAAGGACATGAAAATGCTAACATCGTTTAATTAATAAATATACATGAAAATATGCATATTTATTAATTAAACAATTTATTTTCATATGCATATTTATTAATTAAACAATTTATTTCAAAAATTTTATCTTATTACATTATTTATTTTATTGCTACAAATATTTTTTAACAAAGTAAATAAAATAAAATTGCTTTCGTTGAAGGGTAACAACTGACAAGTGACATTATTACACATATACATTCTCTAATGATGTATATCATTATGTAATTAGACCACTTTTTATTAAAATATTTCATTAATTAAAATTATTTTTATTAGTACTAAATTCAATGACCATTAATTTCATAGAATTTGTTTGTTTTTAAATTAACATACCAATATATATTTCACCAGTTAAAATATATTTTGTCACAATTAAAAAACTAAAACAACCAAAATTATATTTATACAATCTCAGAAATTTAGAATATATACGAGCCCGTGCGAAGCAAGGGGTTAACACTAGTACTCCGTATATGAGAATGATGAATTGGGGTATTAGAAACTTATAATATAATAAATCGAAGGGAGTAAAAATTATACTCCATCCGTCCCTAAATATTTGTAACATTCGTTTTTTCAGCAATCGTGGGAACTTTTGTTTTTTTCTAAGTTTGCATTGGTCATTTTATAAAACAAAATATTCTTGACACTTCTTATTTCGAATAACTTTTCATGTACTCCCTCCGTTTGCAAAAAGACTTCTCATTTTGATTTGGGGGCAAAAATAAGGAAGTGTTAAATTATAGTTGATTTCCAATTTTGCCCCTGATGTGATGCGTAAAAGTAAGATGTGATGGATAGATTATTAGAGAAAGAGTATGATGTGATAGGTAGGGTATGAAAAAGTAAGGGTAAAAGTAGTTTTTTAATAGAAAGGGGAAGTGTTTTGTTGGAAGTTGAAAAAATGAAAGAGGAAGTATTTTTGAGAACGGAGGGAGTAGTTTTTTGATATATAAATTTTATTTTTTATTTCTATACCAATATGTAAATAAAATGAATTGAAAAATCTTGATATTTTATCTCGGGAATACAAGTGTGACAAATATATAGGGACGAAAGAAGTAAATAAGTACCCACCCTTTTCTTCATCTTCTTCAAGACCCCTACTCTCCCCCTCCATTTTTTCTTCCCTTACTCTTCCAGCCCCACCCGCACCCCATGGTCACATATACTCCCTCGTAAAATATTAGCGAGGTGTAATGATTCTAATAATTGTACAAATTCTTATTATAATTTTATAATTTGGTATATAAATTTTAATTATTATCACAAAAGTACACGAATTTTCAACATTCTTTCACAGGTAGTTCAATAGGCGGTTTCTAAATCACCTTTAAGTCATTTGGGGTCAAATTCTAATTTTATAAATTTAAATTTTATGATTTTAAGCATTTTTCTTTTTTTCTCTTAATTCTCCACTCTTTTCTTCATCTTCTTCAAAACCCCCACCCTCCCCCTCCATTTTTCTTCTCTTCCTCCTCCAGCCCCACCTGCACCCCATGGTCCCATATACCCCCTCCTAGAATATCCCCACTCGCACCCCCATGGTCCCATACATATACTCCCTCAATCCCTCCTAGAATATCCCCATCCCCATAAGTGTAATGATTCATTCCAATTACTATGTATGACCTATCCTACGCTCCCTCCTAAAATATCCCCACTCCCACCCCCATGGTCGTCCCATAAATATACCCTCTGTTCCTCCTAGAATATCCCCACCCCCATAAGTGTAATGATGTCCCTCCTAGAACAACCCCACCCCCTTAAGTGTAATGATTATAATTATGACCTATCCTAAGCTAGCATCTATCCTAATAATCCCTCCCTCCAAAATTATTTACCACATTTGTATTCCCGATGCAAAATATCAAGTTTTTTCAATTCATTTTATTTATATATTGGTATAGAAATAAAAAATAAAATGTACATATAAAAAAACTACATGAAACATTCTTCGAAATAAAAGGTGTCAAGAATATTTTATTTTATCAAATAACCAATAAAAACGTCGAAATAAACAAAAGTTCTCGCAACTGCTGAAAAAGCAAATGTTGTGAAGCTAGGTGTAATAATGAGCCGCCAAGTACCCCCACTTGAAATATAATTTCTTATTTTTATTCAAGACTGAAGTCATATTATGTAGAAAATTGAAGGTTGATGTAACACTCGCCTTCCGTGGACCCAGTTCACCCGCGACCCAACAGACCGGTAGGGTTACATGGGCGGTCCGAGAACCGTCCGTAGAGTAAAGAACATTAATGTCTATTTATTATGAAAACGGTTGTGTTTAATTGGCGGAATAAATGCTAGGAAGTTATCCCCGAAACGTGTATGGTATAAATGCAGAGTAAAAGCGGAAGTAAATAAATAAGTCCAAAATAAGTAAAACGACATATGGTGGGTTCATGCCTAAATGATTAATTAATTCCAATGATTATAATTATTAAACTCATCTGTGCGCCGCCCATCTTCCCATCATCACTGTCCTCCAGGGTTGGCACCTGTACCGTCATGTCTACCTGTGTGTAGCAAAAACAACTACACGCTCAGCAAAAGCTGAGGAGTGAATCTAACAAAAGAACATGAAGTGATAACCCATATGATTATACACATATTAATGCCTGTACTTTAACGGACGGAAAACCACATATTTACTAACTGATTAATTTGCACTTGATGGGATATTATTACACATAACAAAATGAATAACAACCACATTGAATGTTGATGTGACGTGGTACATACATGATGATGACGACCACATTAAATATTGACATGACATGGAACACACATGATGACGATATGACTTGATGCTTGACTTAAACTATCAGAGACACCCCTGGCTTAGTCTCACTTGACAGGATCACCCCTGCACTCCGATAACGAGACGGGCTCGACGAAAATGTCGCAAGTGAACTAGCAAAACTGGGTGGTAGCCGTAGCCTGACTACCATGTACGTACACAAAGCCCACCTGATGAAAACCCATTGGATCCCGAAGGTTCCTGGACGGGCCCACTGTAGTAGGCGCACGAAAGCTTGACCTCCCTACAGCGGTATGCACATGATGATAAACCTAGGACATGTGTCTAGAATGAACATGATGAATGCTAGATATATTTACCTTTGGTCAACGCTAAGAATATATCAATTAAATAACATACATAATGAAGATTAACATTTCATGCAAACATACAATCAGATTCTGAGTCAATATGGTCAACGGGGCTCGTTCTACAAACTGCCTGGAATTCTGCTCGCAAAACGGTCGACCGTACCCTAACGGCGGTCGACCGTGGTCTACGGGGTATAGTGGTCTGGAACGCCGACGGTCCACCGTGATCTTCCGTCATGGTTGACGGTCGACCGTCCCGGCGGTGACCGCTGGACTGGCCGAGGGTACGGTCCACCGTCTGAAGTAACGGTCGACCGTCCCGGTGACAGTCTTCTATCCTTGGCTACGTTTTGATCCATTTTGCAAACTTAACACCTTGATTCTTTTTGGAACAATAATGTAAACATTGATGAATATATTCCTAGTGATTCCTAGGCCAATGTATACGATTTTTACGCAGTGAACGTTTTGTTGGTTAACCTACGAACATGCATAGATTCTACGTAGGTTGCGTACGATATTCCTATGAATGTAACGACATAGAGTATAACTAAATGTTCTAGAATTAGACGGGACAACTACTCACCTCTAAATGATGGGGTTAATGAAACGGAAACGAAATGAACGGATGATGGTAACGAACGAACGAACGAACGATCGGCTTCTTGCGTGAACTTCCTTCCCTTCCACCTCCTCGCCTACTCTCCGGAATCCCTCCTTGAGCTGTTGTGGGTTGGCCGAAAATGCACAAAGGGAAGAGGGAAAGGAGAGGATGTGAGTGGGAGTTACAAAATGTGAGGGAGGTGAAGGAAATGAAGAGGGAGTTGATATATATAATGATGGTGGAGTAATGAGTGTTAATGGTGAATTAAAATGGGGAAAATGAATGGTGAGGGAAGGTGTAGTGGCGTGAGATTAATATTGTGGAGTTACCTCCCTAAATTCGTTTCGTCGTGTAAAATTTGACCTGAGCAGTATGCGGTTTTCCCCCTGAACGGGTCCGAATTGAGATCCATTTGTGTTTCCGGAATCAGACAGTCAAAACGAATTTAATGACATATTCAAATAATTTTTCTAAGAACTTTATTTTCGAACTTCCGGGTCCACCACAATCATTAATTAATTTATTTAATTACTATTGAGAGGTCCGTTATTAAAACA